CCCGAAACCCTTCCATACACAGGATGATGTTCCAACCAACTGAGCTACACCAGCCAGGGCTGTGTAGTACTTTTAATGTCAGTATTCCCAGTTTGAAAGAGGGATGACCCACAGGTCTGATGCAGGTAGCTCACCTCCCGCAACTGGGCCATTCCCCGGCCATATGGTTAAAATAACATTGTCTCCCATTTCAATGCTCTTTATGTGATCAAGTGTGCTGCATGTTTACAAACATTCTTATTTAGTCCTTTCAGCAGCTCTGTAAGGTATCCTAAGATTTTCCCCTTTCTGTGCAAGGGGAAACTGAGGCACAGATTATAGTCTCAAGTCAAAGCCAATATTTGAGGTCCCCTTACTTTTGACTTCAAAGTAAGTCTTTTAGTCGTTGCTTGATACTGTGTTCACATCCCAATTCTAGCTACCTATGTGAGCTGGGGTTAATTAGTCTTTTGAATGCTCAGTTTACTCCTATAAAATGAGTATTATAATATTAGTGCCCATTTAATGTTCACAGAATTGCAATAAACATTATGTGAGTTAATGTTTCTGAAAATACTTTGTGAAATGTAATCCACTATTAGCAGACCATCTAATCATCATCGAATTGTCTGAATGGAGTTATTCTTACCTACAATGGAATTTTCTACATGGACTATTAAATCTTGTGGAACTGCTTAAATGTGTTTAGCAATGCTGGAGAAAAGAGGAAGGAATACTTCATACCTGAGTTTGCACTTTTATGTTTCTTTAATATGCCACATTAATCAACTAGATAGAAGACAACTAGACTCTAGGTAAAGACATTTTTCTAACCCTTAGCAATTGAAAATGTATATATTACATCTAGCCATGAAGCGAGTCCGGTCACAAGTCACTCACTGCAGATGGTTGAAGCGGGTCTCTTTCCTGACTAGAATCCTCTTACCAGCCTCCCACAGAAGAACATAAGTGTTTTTTACATACTTATGTAGTATACTACAGAAAAGCATAAATATTTCCCAAAGTCTCAAGCCCTTTTGACCTGGGATTTTACTTAACAGACATATTTCAAAATCACCCTCCCTGGCTGTTCTGTTTGTCATCTAATCTGCTCTAGTCTGACATATCCTATATTGTGAATCTCTGAGTATGTAAAAGGAGATTTTTTCCTTGTCTTAACAATTCTGTACAGTGTACTTGTATATACTGGTTTATGTACACTGATCAGTGAATTATGCTTTAGGATGTGGCCACTGGGAAACAATAGTAAAATTGAAACTATTTTGCATACACGATCTATTGGGGTGACACTAGAATTAGCTATTAAGTAGATATATTAGTAACATGTATGTGAAGTAACTGCACAAAGTGCACGGATTTTATGTTTCCAGATAAAAAAGCAGAAAAAGTAGTTAAAAGCAAGCTATCATTTTCTCCATCTCTATAAAATTATTCAAAGATACATGCTGTGAAAAGAATCATGCTCTTAAAACTATTAAGGATTTTTTTTGTCAGTTCTATTATAACCATTTAAGCAATTTTAGTGATTTATTAAAATTCTGGAAGATAAAAAAGTTTGTGGGACACTCGAAAATAGACACACATTTTGTCCGGAAAGGATGGAATCTTTCCTGTGCTCGCTTCCCCCTCCTCACTTCTAGCTCACTCCACTGACCAGAGGGAAACTTTCTTCTTTGAGACTGTTTTTATATATCTACTAGAGGCCCAGTGCACGAATTCATGCACAGGTGGGATCCCTCGGCCTGGCTGGCAATTGGGGCCAGAGGGAGGGACCGCAAGAAGTTGGCTGTGGGAGTGCACTGACCACCAGGGGGCAGCTCCTGCGTTGAGCACCTGCCCCCTTGTGGTCAGTGCGTCATCATAGCGACTGGTTGACTGGTCACTTAGGCTTTTATATATATAGATTTGACACTTCATCTCTCTATGCATAAAACTGCAAGACTTTTCTTTTTTAAAACCCATTCCCTGTAGCAAAGGATTTCCCTTTCCAAAGGAAGGAGGCTGTGGCCACATGATTCCCTCAGGAATGGCCAGGGGCACTATGCTTAATTCTTCTTTGTTTTCTGCCTTATTCTTTCTTACTGTTGGAGTGATTAAGTTAATGTGACTACGCAGAAGCCAGAGGCGAAATTGCATTTCAAATTTTAAAAAATCAAACTGACGTAACAGATGTGAAATTTTTGAAAATGGCTTTATCTGGTCTGGATCTAGAACATTAGGTGAACAGGTTTTTTCCACTGTCATGAATATACCTGTGGACTCCATTCTAACTATACCGTAACCCAAAAGGGAAGCACCTGCAGGGGAAAAACATATAAGCCCATCTTGTAACCAACACACTACTTTTTTCAGGCAACAAACCTGGGGTCACAGATTACATGGGAGTTTGGGGCTTTTGTATAGGAAAAGATCACTTACTCTAGTCAGTCTATGCATTGGTAGTAATAACAAAAATCAACTTACAGATTTTTGAAGAACATTTTTAAAGAGCATTGCATCAGAAACATGAGTGTCATCTGCTGGTTCGTTTCAGGAAGATATTAAAGTATAAACACAGAGGAGACATCCTTGCCATTTTGCCCCATATGAGTTGATTTTGCATTACCTAATAAGGCTACTAAGCTCAGGTTTTTAATAAGAATTATCTCCTGAGCAATAAGAGGCTGGCGACACAGGGAAGAAGAGAGATTCTGGAATAGCTATTTAATTTTCTTCCTTTCTCCCACTAGCTGGTTTAATTGTTATTCCAATACATTCTACAGGTATTTTAGTAATGGGTACAATTACAGAGGTTGCTTTTTAAAAAAATATATTTTTTATTTATTTCAGAGAGGACGGGAGAGAGATATAGAATCATCAATGATGAGAGAGGATTACTTTTTCCCCAACATTTCAACACATATTTCTTCTTATGCAGTCTAAGCTGAGAATGCCATGTAAATGCATCACTGTGAAATGCAGCAATTTAATTTTTTCCAATCAAAATAAGAAATTCAGTATGATCTTATTTCTATTAACTTTTGAAGGTTTACAGCAGTTAAAGTATTTTTGCTTCTATGTATGAAGGTTAAAAAATCATTTTTTTTCATAAAATAAAAGAGCAACCAATTTCACCATTGAGTAAAAGTAAAAACTGGGATTCTTGTTTAAATTAGTCCAAAGTGGCATTTAGGAACTTAGTTGTAGGCTGTTGCTGCGCTGACACCATGAGAAACCAAAGCGTAGGGTTTGGTCTGGTTTTGTTTCCGTTTTCTTTTCAGTATCCAGTGCTCATGGATTAAGTTCTGGAAATGTTCCAATTGTAAGGCAGGGATCTGTTTGGATTCCACCACGGTGTGCTCCTTGGGTTGGATGCTGGAGGGTGAGGCACGTTTTGCTGGACCCATGTCAACTACCTAGTAGTCATCAAGGGCAAAAAAGTTGTCTTTTCCTTGGTATTCAATTCCCTGGAAATCTACTTGGTACCGCAAGATACCTCCAATTCCTTTCACAAATTGGGATCCTCCTTGTGACTTAACTGTGACCACTTCCAATGTAGCTCCAAATTTTTTAAGTTTATTAGCAAACCACTCCAGCAAGGGCATGCTCTCAATTAGTTCATGTTCTTGTCCTGTCTCTTTGTCTGTGAAATGAGATTTATCCTTCTCTTGTTCTGGAGTTATATAGAGAATTTTCTCCTCTTCTGTGCCTTGGCAATGAAGGATGTATCTCATTATATCCAGATTTTTGTAGACTATTAGAATTTCTACAACCTTTAGTGTATCTTCAACTCCAAAACAGTACTTGCCTATATCCTGGCTGATTTCATCAAAGTATCATCCTATGACTTTCTTCTTTTGAATGAATTTCACGTTGGAGAGGACTTCAGTAGATAACTCAATAGCTTGGTTGAATTCATTTTCACCACCATAGGATATATCAACTAATTTTAAAACTTTCGATTGCAAATTCTGATCAAATATATGAGATTGACTTAATTCAGTTTTAGAGTCAGCAGATCCAGCTAAAACGAGACCAGCCACATTCACGTTGTCCCCAGAAATAAACAGCTGCTCAGCAGTCTCAGCTACTTTCTGAACATAGCTATGTTGCTTTTCCATTCTTTAAATGGGCAAAATGCAAGGCTGACTGACCTCTACCACGTTTCTTTGAGAGATCCACAGTGCATTTGTGCAAGACTTCTCTCGTGGTTCCTTGGAGTGTGCCAAAAAGTGCGCCACTACCATACATTACAATGAAGCCAAATTTGCTGTCATCTGAAAGTAGTGCTGTAAGAGCCTCTGTATGGAATTTGTTGTCAGACAGATACAATGATGTTTTATTAATTGGTTTGAAAGGTTCAAAGTCAATGTTGACTTTCTTTTCCTTCTTGTGTTACAATTGTACCACAGTACACAACCAGGCCATTTGGAGATACTTGGTTATAAAGTTTGAATCTTTGTTGTACAGATGTAATGGCTCCCAGGACTGAAAGGCTGTTTACTCGTGACTTAATGTTAGACGCAGTTCCAAACTCATCTGCTAACATTTTTGCCACTCATGAAATCTGGTCTTTGGGAGGAATGATCAATGATACCATGCTTGTGCCATTGCTTGGTTGCAGGCTCCTCCCTGGCCTGGGCCCTGGTCGGGGCTTGTGTAGGAGGCAACCAATCGATGTGTTTCTCTCACATCGATGTTTCTCTCTGTCTTTCCTTCTTCCACTCTCCCTGCAGGCTGCCTCCAAGCTCTTAATCAGCTTCTTGATCTTCCAGATCTCCACATCCTATCCACAGCATTGGGGTCGTCTGCCATCTTCTCGTGTCCTTCTCCCTCAAGAGAGAATTATTGATCGGCTGCTTCTTGCATACCCCACACTGGGGATTGAGCTTGTAAGATGAGCATGTACCCTGACCTGGAATGGAACCGTGACCTCCTGGTTCATAGGTTGACACTCAACCACTGAGCCACAGCAGCTGGGCAAAGAGGTTGCTTTTTAAAGGTGATAATAGTATCTGTCCTAAAGTAAAAATGCCTAAGCCAAAGTTGGTGCAGATCAGTTAAATAAGAGTAGTCTGGAAATTGTCATTTTGAATACCTTCATAAGCAAATTAGAAAATGAGTGCTGTGATGTGGTACAGAAACACATAACTAGTTTGGTAATCAGCAACCTACCTCACCTTTTTTCATGTTTTCGTTTATTAAGTGTTTGTGATTCTACTTCAGATTAATTTCATTCTGCTCTGTGAGAGTTTATGTGTTTTTACAAATCACATAGCACATAAGCATGTGTTTCGGGTCAGCAGTGTGTGCAGAGGGACATAGAAACGTGACCAGTGTGGGTAGAAAGACCTAAATATGAGGTTGCCACACACCGGAGTGGCTCTTTGAATTCACTTGGTCTCTGTACAGAAAGCAGCGCCAGTTACATGGCCTGACAGGCTGTGTGTTGTTTAATAAAACATGGAAGTGACACAGAAAGCTTTGGCTGCACGTTGGGTTTGATTTTGTTGGTGCAGCTAATGGCATGGACGCTTTGCTCAGCCCCTGCCTATTTCGCCCCCTTTTGAGAGCTTGATTTTAGGTAGTAGGCTCTCCTCCCTTTGTGGTATTTCTATTTTAATTTCTCACCCTAACAACCGGTCCAGGGATGCAAAAGGAGTATTGCAGGGGTGGTGGACCGCAGGAAGGATGGAGATACTAAAGGAATCTATTGTTCTTGTGTTGTTTCATATCTATTTCCTCTTCTGAATCTTATGAGTCCTTGACTGAAGCCATCCCAGGTGAGCAGGCACAGAGGAAAATCTACAGAGGCACTGAAGAGAGATGGATGGTGGAGTGCGAGTGGATTCATGCCAGTGAGAGGCTCTTGCTTCAAAGATAAGATGGTCCGTCTGGCCCATAGGAGAACATGCCTTTGGTCTGCTGCAGACTATGGTAAGTAATGCATATCTCATGAGTGCATTGTACTAGCTACTGAAAATAGCCCCCTCCCCCCCGATTATTTTCTGGTAACTAAAGCAATATTTCAAGCACATGTGCCAACCGTCCATCAGTTGGCACTCACTCACTCCAGACTCCTGCAGAGATTAGCAGGATGCCGGTTTATGCGCCAGCATTATAACTGCCTCTTCTCTCCTTGTGAGGAAGCATTAGAGTGAGGGAGAGTGACTTCATTACAGGGGGTAACCTCAAGTCCACCCTAACTTATGACAACGGATCTTTCATAAACGTTAACACTCTTTAAATCTAGGACATGATGCGAGACATGTCACAGGGTGTTAAGAATCCCTGCCTTTGAATAGTAGCTCCAAAATCTAACTGAACACCAGAAGGTTCCTAGGAAACTTTTAAAAATACTGGTTACTGCCCTGGCCTGTGTGGCTCTGTTGGTTGGGTGTTTTCCCATGCACTAAAAGCTTGCTGGTTCCATTCCTGGCCAGGGCACATGCCTGGGTTTCGGGCTTGATTCCCAATGTGTGTGTGTGGGGGGGGAGGGGGGGAGAGGAGGGTGTGTGTGTGGGGGGGAGGCAGCCGACCAATATTTCCCTCTCACATTGATGTTTCTCTCCCGCTTCCTTCCTCTCTCTCTAAAAATCAATTTTTAAAAAAATACAGGTTACTTAGTCTCAGCTATGAAGATTCTAATTCAGTAGTCCTATAGAGGGGCTCAAGTATACACACAGACACATGCACACATGCACATACATATGCACACAGTATATGAATATTATTATATATATATAATTTAAAAAAATTTCCCCAGGTGGTTCTGGCATGTAGCATGAGAAGTGCTTCCCAGGATCCCTCCGGGTAATTGATGACATGTAATTCAGCAGGCTGGGTGTTGTTGGCTTTCCCAAAGAGGAGTCCTTCCTTGTGACTCTTTGGATACAAGGTGTGAGTGAGTGCTACCAGCCTTTGAAAGGATCTGCTTCTCAGATTCCAGCGTGAGTCAGGAGAGCGCACGGGAAAGGATGGGGTTAGCAACCCGGCCTCCAACAGCTCCCACTTGAACCAATACATTGATACAACCATCCTGTAAAGCTTTCTTGGGACATGAAGGGAATTGTGTTCCCTTCAAAGGCTCAGAAGAAATATCATGAGTGAGAATATGAGCTAGGAGGCGAGATGGAGCCTGTCACTGTCATTCTGTCCCCAAAGCCAGGGCTGCACAGAACATGAATTCTATTTAAAATACCCAGCACTGTCGTACTCACAAATAGACCAAAACAAACCTGTCTTCGAAATAATATAACTCACAAAAACTGAGCATATATTTCCTGTTGTCCTAAGAGCTCATTTATAACCTTTTAAGATGGGTCCTCTTAGTATCTCGTTTTGCCAATGAGGAAATTGAGGTTCTGAGGTTAATTTGCTCATGTTACAAAGTAAGTGGAAGAGCCGGGATTTAAATCCAGATGGTTCGGCTCTCGGACATGGCCCTACTTTAACTGCTACCCTGTATAACAGATCACAGAACTGCAGGGGCCTGTTTTCACACAACCCTTGCAACTCAAAGGAACCAACGAAGTTTATGCTGACCAAATTTGTATGAGGCAAAAATGAAAGTTTGAATCATTTCAAATTTGTATATGATGATTTCAAAATTTACAATCTTACCACTCATTTAACTTCCAGGAAAGAAGCTGAGTTTAGAATGATTATGGAGCCCTGGCTGGGTTGCTCAGTTGGTTAGAGCATTGCCCTAATATGCCAAGGTTGTGGGTTCGATCTTGGATCAGGGCACATACAAGAATCAACCAGTAAATGTATAAATAAGTGGAACAACAAATTGAGATCTCTCTTTCTCTCTCTCTCTCTCTCTCCCCTTACCTTTCTCAAATCAATAACAAATTTAGAATGCTTATGAAAAATAGGCAGCTTTCTAAATGCTGTTTTAAAGATTAGCCATCTCATTCTTTTTGTTTTCTAACATTAGTCTTAGCCTTTGTACATTCAACTTCCATTATTATTGCTTAATATAACATTTAAGTATTAGAAAATGTGAACAGAACTTCCTGACAATTTGACTATGCCTTGCAGTTTAAACAAGCATTGTCTTGGGGCAGTGATCCACCCACTATTACTGTTCCCTGTCATCACTGCACTGCATCATACTGTTTTCTATTTGTGCCTCTTTTATACTCACTCTGTTCTTCAAGGTTGTCTTTATGAAGATACATCTGTTTAGCTTTGGTGATTAGCAGAAACATTAGCAGACCTACTGTTTCAGAGCATACATAATTAATGGATGTTCCTCATTAATTTCTTCTGAAACTGACTCTTGTTAGACTACAGTTAGATATATTTCTTGAATTAAGAGCAGATATAAGGAGCAGGGACTCTGCCTATTTTGAAAATAGGCCATTTACTTTTAAGGGAAAATGATGACTTCAGAGTCCATTGATGGCAATAAAAGGAAACCTCTTTTAATACAATACAACACGTGTCCTTTGTTTGCTAAGGGCCTTCCATCACAAGGTGTCTGTTCTGTGGTCAGTTTCTCTGGTTTTCCACACAGACCTCCCATTTCCCCCCCAATTTAACACAGGTAGTAACTATTTATTGTATGGACATATTTACAAAATATTACACAAACGGCCTTTTAATCAGACAAATCCAAAATGCAAGGATTCCTCTTGTCTCTGTGCTTGACTCCCTTCCTCTTTTTGCTTTCATTACCTGTGGGGCTTTCCTGTAAGTTGGTATGCATACAGTGAGATCCTTGTTCCAGTTTTTTGTTTTTAGTTCCCTTGCTATTGATTAACACACATCCCCTTTAAACAATCTCTTCAAATTAATGGGCAAACAAAAAATACAGGTTCAGAGGCAAATGGCCCAGTGAGATGATCCCTTTAAGAGCTTTAGCCTAATTAATCGTTAGATTTCCTCCTGTGAAAAAATTACATGCGCATCTGTATTTGCCTGCTTCTGATGCCCAGAGTAGGCAAAACTGACCAAATGTCAACAAAATACCCCCTTGGACTTTTCCCAAGGGTCTCAAGAAAAGTTTAGCCTGGCTCTAAGCGGGGCCACACTTTACCCAACCCAAGGCAAATTGTGGCTGATTTAAAAATAAAACAACAAAGTTAGTAGAAAAAATTTATCATACAGAAGCAAGTGCCTCATATGAAGTGATGTATTTTATATCTCCCACATGGCTGTGCTAAAATTCTAATGTCAACCATTGCAGGAAAGGGAACATGTATTTCTTGAAGATTTTTTAAAAAATTGATTTTTAGCCCTGGCTGGCTTGGCTCAGTGGATAGAGCGTCAGCCTGTGGACTGAAGGTCAGGGGTTTGATTCTGGTCAAGGGCATATGCCTGAGTTGGGGGCTTGATCCCCAGTTAGGGTGGGTGGTGGCATGCAGGAGGAAGCCAATTGATGGTTCTCTCTCATCATTGATGTTTCTGCCTCTCTCTCTCTCTCCCTTCCTCTCTGAAATCAGTAAAAATATATTAAAAAATTTGATTTTTAGAGAGGAAGGGAGAGGGAGGGAAAGAGAGAAACATCGATAAGAAAGTAAAACATTGATCAGCTGCCTCCTGTTGCCTCCTGCACCACCCTCCTACTGGGGAGTGAGCCCAAAACCCAGGTATGTGCCCTGACCAGGGATCAAACCAGCAACCTTTCGGTACATGAGGTGATTCCCAGCAACTGAGCCACACTGACCAGGGCAGGAGGCTGTATTTCTTAGATGTTTCCTTAGCCATGCTGGCTTCTGAAGATTTATCCCAAGCTAATAATATCAGGTATTAATGAGAAATGTTGGTATCAACCTGAAAGATCAGCATTAGTAGATTGAGTTAATGCTTTATAGTTTGGCAATACAGCTGAACAGACCCCACCCATTATAAATGATATTGTCATCATAAAAACACTTTTTGAACATGTGAGGCATAGTGCTAAGTGATAAATAATAGTTTTAGAGAATGTTTTTAAAAATGTCTCATTTATGTTTGCAATAATCTTTAAAGTGCATATTGTTATCCCTGTTTTACAGATGAAAAACTAAATCACAGAGAGATGAAGTAACTTTTCCAGTGAAGAAAAGGCAGAACTCAGCTATGAATTCAGGTGAGAAGAAATGTAAAAACTGTCCAAATTGATTGCTGAAGGAGAAAGGGACATTATGAAACTATCCAGTATGCTCCCATTTTAATTTTTAAAAGACAGTTTTTCTGTTTTTCTTTTACTATGTATCATGTATCTTTTATCATGTATCACTTCTGCATTTTTGTAATTGGGAAAAAATTACTTTTACATTTGAGATAAAACGTGGGTTGTATTTGACATAAGTGCGTTGCCTAAATAGGTCTACATTACCATGTCTATTTCATATCTACTTAATTACGTTAAAATGACATTCCTCTCCTTGAGCTGCTGTCTAACTTCAGAAAAGAGCACGCCAATTGTAAAAAAAAAATACACACCTCTGGATGAAAGTATAAATCCCTAGTTTGTTGTAAGACTTATTTCCACTATAATTTAGAATCGGTGCATAAAGAAAAAACTCGGGAATGACTCTCACGTGTCTAACCAAGGGCAGTGCACCCCGCGGGCTGCGGCTGAGAGCCTGCATGGCGAGAGCTGGGGGAAGATACGCAATGGAAAAGTGCACACCAGGGCACTCACAACTCAATCCCAATATCGGTTTCTTTAATAAACGGCGCCATATAGTTGTATCGAAGTGAATATACATTATTAGTATCGCTTCCCATGTTTATGATCCACTCCCCATCAAAGTGACATAAAAAGCAGAGTTAGTACCAATTAATATCCAGTTGCTCATCAATCTTTAATTTGGATTTTCTTTCCTTTGATTGATACATCTCTTATAACTGAAAGGCTCCATCTCTTTATAACATATGCTATCATTCAAGGCCGCTTGTGTTAATCACTCTGCAAGCCAGCAGGAAATTGTCTCATAATTCACCTAGCCTTTGTCACAAGTGCCTGAAGTTACCGCAGTCTTGGAGAAGGAGCAGCGGTGCTCCTCAGAGCGTTTAGCATCATGAACCCAGCAGCTCAGGCCTTTGGTTTGGAAGCAATCTTGTCCAACTGACTGATGAATGAAATGCGGGTTTTCTTCAGAGGCATAAAGTGTTGTTGTTTTTGCCACCCACTGGTTTGGGTTTTGGTAGCACAGCCGCAGACTAGAATGAATAGCTGCGGTGTTGGAGGAGGTGGGGGGGAAGTTGCAGGTGAGAGGTGTCACCTGTCAGCTTGGTCCTAAAATGGCAATTTGCAATAAGTGTTCATCCAGAGCCAGTGCCGATTTGGGTTGGACACATGGTAAAAACAAACAAACAAACAAACAAACAGACAAACAAACAAACAAACTAGTCTCTTTCGTGTTGCCTTGATGAGGCTGCTACAGATGGGAACGCAGAAGCAGCTTCATTCTGTCTGCTGTGGCCACAGCTTGAGAGTTCTCCAGGGCACCACAGCATTCCCAGCACACAGGGGAATGGCCTGCAAGACCCTGCCTTCCCTTGCCCCCGAACACAAGCCAGACTTCTCCGTAGCCTGGGCCACTGCCATGTTGTAAAGGCTCCTGATATATATATCTGAAATAACAAAATGCTTTTAGCATTTAAAGAAGTGAAAGAAGAGAAGGAAGAAAGAATTGGGAGAAGAACAATTACAAAGAATTTTAAGTATAATAATCTCATTTGGAGAAAAATCTCAGAGATCCAAAGAAAGGCCCCGCCCAAAAGAGTGGCTGGGCCACCCCTGTGGCAGGTCCGTGCTTAGTATGGGAGGGCAGACCCTGGGCAAATGCCTGTGTTCAGTGGAAGTGGGAATGGGGTCATATGTGGTCCTGTGGACTATTTTTATATGTAGATCAAACCATCTTAAAGTGTGTTTTCTTCACGGTTACTATCGTGAAGAGGGGGTTGGGAGGTGTCTGGGTGAGAGGATCTTGAGGAGGGAACAGGTTAATGAGTGTCCAGACCAAGCCGAAGGCATCCTACCTCCCCCAACTATGGCCCAATAGGGATTGGTGGCGAGAACATTAACCCAGTGCCAGGCCTGCTTTCAGACACTGGCTCCACACCTTCCTAGCTGTCAGATGTTGGCCATGCTACCAAATGTCTGAGCTTCAGCTTTCTCAGCCCTAAATGCCGGGTAATAATGACAGCCCCACTCCCTGTCGTATGGTTATGAGGACTAAATGGGATCACTCTCTCCAAGCACTTGGCAGGGGGCCTGGCACAGCATAAATGTTCAGTAAACACAGCGAGGTGTGACGATAAAAGTATTAGTCGCTGAGCTCAAGCCTCCAGAGCCAGGAACGTGGGTGAGTGGAGAGCTGACCTCTGCTACCTACCAGGACGGCCAAGAGTTGCTGCAAGAAGCTTTCCATGTCTAGAAAAACCCGAAAGTTTGTAAATCATGATATTTCAGACTTCCTATAGAGTTTAGAAAAGAGTGTAACAAACACCAAAAGTGCTCAGCTTAAGAAGTAAAATATTATGGACAATAAAAAGGGAATGCAGCTATTAAAATGAATGAGCTCAAACGATGTGGATAAATCTCAAAAACATAATGCAAATAGCAATAGGATGCATGCAATATGATGCCATTTATATCCAGTCTGTAAGCTTGCACGACGCTGCTGCTTATGAATTGTTTAGTGATGCCTACATGGGTAGTAAAAGTGTCAGGATGTGCAGGGGATGACAACTCTTAGGAACCTTTGAACCTTTCATGCCCAGGTATGCTGGCTTTGTTCTCAGCAGGGCCTAGGCCCGGAGCTCCTCGCCCTGCTGTCTTATACAGATGTTAGCCCCTGTGGGGACAGAACTCTAGGCAAACAGTGTTAAATACTCTGAAAGCAAAATTCCCCCTTTGAATGCACTTGGCTCCCATTAAAGTCCAGGGGCGCTCTCTCGGCAGGCCCCCTGCGTACCATGGCACGACATGTTCAACCTGAATTCTGAAGGTTGGATGTAACATAAAAGCAGCGAACCACCAGCATAAATGTATATGAAATGAAATCAATGAAAAGTGTATTTTTTTTCCTCTATTGAAGAGGGCCCTGAGAGGGTACATCATAGGAGCTAGGACAATGCTGGGGAGATGCTAACAGGAAGATGAAGGGAGGGAGGAGGTGGACGAGAGGTAGTGGGGGCGGGTGTCTGGGGGAGAGGCTGTGAGTGTTTATATTCACTGTGAGGACCAGGGTTTAGTGAGACATGTTCTTCCTTTTCCCTCTTCACTTAAAAAAAAAGGTCAGTTATTAATGCTTATATGATGAGATAGCGATTTCTTTATTCATTCTACTTCATCCTAAGAGGCCATCTGAAATAAGGAATTATCTCTGAGATCAGATTGATATTGCAAAAGCTCGATGTCAGATTATGAGTTTATGATGGATTAAACACCAAAATTAGGCTAAGACAAAAAAATGCTTTTGTTCAGACAATTTTTTCTGCTATAACAGCAGTGGAATTTGTCTATCTCATAAAAATAAAACACCAGGCTCTGCAGGAAGTCCTTTGCATCAGTTGTTTCATGTATCCCTCACAGTAAACTTACAGACGCATCGGAGAGCTTCCGTGGAACTGGAGGCACACAGCAGAGCCAGGATGAGCGAGGGAGTCCGACTCCCAAATCCACGCTCTTTCCCTGTGCAACGGACCACCCCATGACACACACGCGTGCATGAGCATTCTTGGTTTACTAACGAAGCCACCTTCCAATTGTACTTGCACTTGACCACAGTGCTCTGTTGCTGGCAGGGCTTTGGAAACGAGCGGACGTGACCCTCTGTCATAAGCTCGTATTCCGAATGCAGATGGAATCTGGTAGCTGAAACCTTCCTCTGGGAACTACAGACCTGCTCTCTAACCCCGTCTTGTGCTAAACTTGCCCTGTTTTCCTAGCTCCTGCCTTTCATAACTGTCCTCTCCTCCCCCAGGGCTGGGCTTCTGCATATTTATTTATTTATTTATTTATTCTTAATCCTCACTTGAGGATATTTTTCCATTGATTTTTAGGGAGAGAGGGAGAGAAAGGGAAAGACGGAGAGAAACATTAATGTGGGAGAAACACATCGATTGGTTGCCTCCTGCATGAGCCCTGACCAGGGCCTGGGGCGGGGGAGGAGCCTGCAGCCAACTAAGTGCCCTTGACTGGAATCAAACCCGGGTCCCTTTGGTCTGTAGGCCGATGCTCTATCCACTGAGCCAAACTGGCTAGGGCTGCATCCTTATTTATTATTTATTTATTTATTTATTTATTTATTTATTTAAATAATTCTTTAGTATTGAAAGTGTTACACATGTCCCTCTTTTTCCCCCATTGACCCCCCAGCAGTCTGTCCCCGCCCCCCACCCCAGGCCCTCACTGCCCTATGGTCTGTGTCCATGGGCTGTGCATATTGCATCCTTTTTCAGATGACCCGACCTTGGTGGATACTTGACTTAGGGGAAAGTGGTCCCTGGTGGGCAGAATCAGCCAGGATGTCTTCTGGGGATTTGGACAAAGAGCAGGTCAAGAGATAATGCTATCTCCTTTCTGGATCTGAGAGATGTTACTGAGAAATGCCTGACTTATCAGCGTCATTGCTTCCTAAAGACCAGCTCTTGATTCTCAGCCGATAGAAGTTTGTATATTAGGTTGTCCCATCTTTGTTTCTTTTATCCCCCTCTCCCTTTTCAGAACTCTTTCCCTGGGAGTCACTAAACTTTTTCTGCTACGTCATCATTGCTTTGGCTTATGTTTCCCAGGATTTCAGTTTATTTTGCATTAGTTATAGCTGAGAATGTTTTTCTTCTTACAGCAGATGGTGGGGGCAGGGGACTCATCTTAATCTCAAAAATGTGTTTCTCAGTGGTTAGAGCATTGTCCTGTGTGCTGAACTGTCATGGGTTCAATGCCCAGTCAAGGACATGTACCTGGGTTTCAGGTTCAGTCTCCAGTGTCTCTTTCACATTGATGTTTCTCTCTCTCTCTCTTTCCCTCTCTCTCTCTTTTTCTCCCCCCTCCCTCCCATTCTCTCTAAAAATCAATGGAAAAAATATCCTTGGGTGAGGATTAGCAAAAAAATGAAACAAAACAAAAAGTGCTACTTTCAGGGTGCTGTATTATGATATATATGTTGGTTTGTATTCATTTTATTTTCATGGAATAATAGATATTTTCTGTTCTCTTGGCATCAGACTCCAGGCACATATCACCTTATGACTTTGCAGAGACTGTGATTATGGCCCATGAAAAGGGGGGCTTGATATCTTTTTGGGCTCCTTAGTTGTGCGCAAGAGAAACGAAATCTGGCTAATTTAAACAACAAAAAATGTGATGGAAATACAGAGTAGCATACAGAACCAAAGAGAAGGCTGAAAAGTCAAGGAGTGGCAGGAACCAGGCTGTTCTAAGGCAACAGGAATGCAGGGTTTCTACTTTCAGGTGTTGAGATTGTTGTGAATGAGCTCCTACAGTTCTTGTCAGTGCATTTGGATCTAGTGTCCACGCCAAGAACATGTGACTGGCCTACCTTGAGTCACATACAAAACCATCATCCAGATTTGACAGCCCTACCGAGATGGCATCCACTCAGGAAGGGTTAGTTCCCTAGAGCAACACTGGAGTGTATAACAGTAGAAGGGGGAATGGATGAAGGCAAGCTTAAAAATAGTTGTTCACTCTATTCTCTCAACATTTCATTTGACCCCTC